TCGAGCTAGCTACCTAAATTTTAAATATTACAAAATAAATAGTTGTGGAGAATGAAATTATAATTATATTCCGAGTAGTGATCGCTATCCCTATTCATATCATCTGCGTACACACTACCCTTCCCAGACTCCACTAGTGGGATTTTACTGGGGGAAATTACCAGTTATGTCCATTTATAAGTAGTTCATTACAAAAATTGGCCAATTGATAAAATATTACTAATATTAGCCAAATTAGCCAATTAGCTATTTGTAGCAAAAAATATCAAATTTTTGCTTTGTTTTGAGTGGGTGTTATTAGAATAGATTGGGCACAACTTAAGGAGCTTGAATCTCAGTGTTGGGATGATTTGGTGAAGTTTTGAGGTGGGTTGAATTGAAAATTCGAAGTAAAAGCTGAACATGAAAAAAATGATATGTGTATCACACTGTGTATCATTTGTGTGTCACATATGTATCAATTGTGTATCACATGTATATCCATGTATACCTGTGTGTGTGATACATGCGTGATACATGTTTGATACATGTGTCGCAGAAGACTTTTTTGAACTCGATTTAATTACGAATTTTGATACAAAACCAGTCCAAATCACCTCCAATCTTCCTCAAATTTTGTATATTGACTTATCTATATATTTTCAATGAATTTCAACTATACCCATTGAAAAAGTTCCTTTTTTGTTTAGATTTTTGGAATATTGTATAGATTTTTGTATTTCATCACCTTATTTGCTATCCCGTCCATGAAATTTCCTTTCCGTCTTGTATCTAATGTTGCTAATCACGCTAAAAATATGGAAGGTGATTTTTGCATGTGATTCTTTGAGAGAAAGAACCCTATTATTTAGTTTTTCAATTTTTGTTGGCTAGTTTTGGTAAGTCTATGACTAATGGCTAGAGGTTGGTAAGTTGAGATTTATTTGGGATATTTGTGTAAGTTTCCCAAATTTAAAGGCTATCAAAGTTCACGTAAGTTTCCCATAGTTTTATCCCACACTCTTCNCTCGACTCTGTTCTCTTTAACAATCCAATAGCTTGTGAGGTGAGGTATTGAATTGCAAGTCCAAGTTCCGTGCCAACAAGTCTAGAACCTGCCCTGTATGTTTTCCTAGGCGAAATTCTAAGTGTAGCTCGACTTGGGAAATGATTGTAGGCTCTCCTTGATCCAATTTGAAACTTGAAATCTTCCGTAGCCTACCAATATGATATCCCTAGTCAACCCCTTTGAGCCGAAGCCCTTTTTCTTTTAATAACCATGATACAAGCCTTTATCCGTTCTATAATGACCCTCTCTTGGCACCCGATCTTTCCTTAGCACTCACAATTGGAAAAAGCATAAGTTTGGGGGGAGATACGGGGAATGTGAAAGTGATAAAAGGTACCAAAAAAATGAAGAAAAGGGAAGGCAAAATAAAAGAAAGAAAATCCAAAAAGAAATATGTCAAAAAGAAAGTGAATAAGATAGAAAAGTGAAGGGATTCAAAGAAACCAATGATGAAAGGCATGGAATGATTAGAAAAGGAGAAAAATGATCGTCATGAGTAAGAAAGAGTGACAATGTGTCTCTCTATTTCCCCTAATGAAGAAGAAAATGACTCAAAGAGTCAACAAAGTATGAGCTGAAATGAGAAAATGGAGTGCTTAAGGAAAGATGAAACCATCATATGCCAATAAGTCCTACCTGGATCCAAGTTAAAAACACGAACCGCGATCAGATTTACGCAGCCGCGAAAACAAGAGTGCGGCCGCGGTCAGAATTACGCGGCCGCGAAATCTCCGCAGGGGCTTTTTTTGTCCAAAAATTTTAGCTTATTATAAATAGATCTTTTTGATATTTTTAGGTAAAGTTATGTTTTTGCTGAGCACGTGAGACGGCTGGAAATTCCATTTTGGGCAATTTTGTACTAGAATTATCTTCCAATATTAGATTTTCATCTTTTAATCTAGCATTATAAATTTTATATTTATTTCATCTTTAATTTCTGCTATTTCCATGAGTAGCTAAACCTATATCTAGGGTTGTGACCCAACCCTAGTGTGGGTATTTGATGGTCTTGAATTTTAAGGCTTGAATGTGTAGGGGTTAGTAGTATTTGTCACACCTCCTTTTTCCTACACCTGTGAAGGTGTAAAGGAGTTTTTCCAATTAAAGGACAGTCGGAACGGGATTTATTATTAACATTCAGAGTCGCCACTTGGGAGATTAATGGTTTCCCAAGTCACCGGTTGAATCCCGATCCGAGGAAATTATGACTCTGTTAACAGTCCGCGAACCAGAAATCCAAGTAAGGAGTTCTGTTAACCCGGGAGAAGGTGTTAGGCATTCCCGGGTTCCGTGGTTCTAACACGGTCGCTCAACTGTTGTATTTGATTTTATCTGATTTCAAAACATGTTCTAGCTTATGTGCTTTTATCAGTCAAACGCTTTTATTTTTATTTTTAATAAGAATTGCAACGTCGTGAAAACGCATCTCGAATCACGTCGCACCAGTGCACCCGTGATTGTTAACACATTTCGACTTCGTTGAGATTTGGATTTGGGTCACATAAATGTGCACCCGAATTTAGGAAAGTAATATTATTAAAATACGCGCCTACAGCAACTACGCGTTATCATCTTTGGGGAAAACCGTGAAATTCGCTAAACGGCTCGTCCCGGAGTCTAAAGATTAATAAAATATTTATTGAGGACCTCGTAATTTGTGTATTTTGCTTGGCGAGGCTCATCTCATTTATTATTTAAAGGCAAACCTAAAAACAACTATGGTTCTCTATTTACTTGTCTCTAGTAATGGAGGAAAAAGTCCTACTTAATTCATTATTGGGCTAAGTGGTAATTATGCATCACAGTCCAGCCATTGGGCTCTAAGATAAGCCCAACGAGGGGAAAATACACTCAGGTCTGCACGCTTTCAACTGGTCCATCGAACGCCTTGGTCCAGGCCCAAACGAGAATGGAGTCAAAACTGGGCCTGGGCCTATGCCAAACCAATCAGAACCTCAAATCGACAAATGTAAATCTGCTGAGTTACTTCAGGCTATTTTAATTGTATTCAATGACTTATACAAGGAAGAACAAAGTATACTTATTTATTTGCCTACTGGTGCATTCCTAGATGTCACTAACGGTGAAAATCACACCAGAGGAAGCATCAAATTGCATGTTAAATGCAATGCACGTGACTGGTACACTAGAGTGGCCATCAATTACAACAGACTGTTAGAATTGTGTAAGCTCAGCATGAGTAGTGCAAATACCCTGGCTTAATATTAACAGGCCTATTCGAATTAATACAACGGGGCTGCAGTTTTACAATAAACAGGCTCATATTCAGGACTTCTAGTTCTTAACCTTTATATGCAGTATTCAGATATTGAGACATGAACTCAAATNAAGGACTCTGCGGACGTTGCAAATATAACCCGAGTATTACGCCCAGGGTCGAATCCACAGAGAGTTAACCTATCAACCGCTATCTTCAGACCCACTAAGTCTTCAGAACCAGCTTCCCAAATATTCAAATTCTCAGTTGAGTGTTCTTTAATAACTAGCTTGCAAGTAACTAAATGGTTGTAAATAAATTAAAAGGGTTGTAAACAATTATGAGAAAAAGCTAAGTCAATGATTTCCCCTATTGATGGAATTCCTTCTGTTTATGCCCATACAAATTTACCCACACCTCTCTATCAATCATGAACGCTAATCTTACCTCAAATCTCTCCCGAGTAATTACAGTAATCTACTATTGCACTCTCCCGAGATACACTAGCTTGCTTTATTTAGCACAATTCAATTTAGATTGCACCCAAGGCTTCGTTATTCCTAATCCCGCCTTTAAACCCGCTATTATAGATTCCTCTAATAATCTAGGAGTGGTGTTGTTCAACAATACCCTAAATATGCACTCTTTTTCAAGTTATGCACACTAAATAGGCACAGCTAATTGAGGATCCTGTCAATTAACTACAACGAACACGAAGTTGAACAAATAAAGATTAAACTAGCAATTTGTATTCACATAAACAAGAAGTTCATCACCCAATAGGTTCCATCAAAGCCTTAGACAAGGAATTTAGCTACTCATAGATATGGGAGAATTCATCATAAAATCAAAAGAAAAGAAGAAAGATGTTTAGAGTATTTTCTCACAATGGTTTTCCTTGCTAAGAAACCTAAAAAATCAATACATGCCTCTCTTGGGCGAAGTCTAATGTTTTAAATAGGGTTTAGGTCTAAAAATCCCGTAATTGACACTTTGGTCCCTGAAGTTTACTGGGCCTGCCGCGGTTCTGCCGCGGTCGCGGTAGAACCGCGGCCAAACACCCTCGCGGAATCTCCAATCTTCAGCAGCTGCTTCCCACCGCGGTTCTGCCGCGGTCGCGGTGGAACCGCGGTGGGCCCAGTTCTCTGAATCTTCGGCCTGTTTTTTGCATGCGTCATTTGGGAAATTTCACAGTTGGCCTCTTTTTCATCACTTTTGACTCCAAAACTGCTCCTTAGCCTTCTTTATACATATATCACCTACAAATCATGAAAATCACTAATAAGAGCATTTTGTCATCACTTTTAGCATTAAAAACTACACAAGAAGGTGATTATTTAAGGCGTGATTATAGTCAAATTCACCTATTATCAGTATGCGCACTCCATGCGTCACTGACTATGCAAAATAGCAGGGGCGGATTTATGGGGTAGTTTATGGTGCACGTGAACCATGGTCTTTCCACCAAACTAGGTATTTTATGTATGTATTTTCTACTATTAGTCTAATATTATCTGTAAGTACCCATGCTAAGGCTGAATGATGCACTTGGCTGAATATTAAGCTATTTATCCAAAGGAACATGGATCAATTTCGACTTAATACTTTTATTTTTCTCCTTTATTTAATGGTTCCAATCATGTTTTAGAAATTCCAGATTCAGCTCTGCATAATAGTATACTTGTATAATGAATTATATATGTCAAGATTTGACTTACTTTATGGAACTATTGAAGGTTTGTGCCAGAGAAGTTTGAGGAGATATTTAAGCAGCATGCAAATCAAAATGCAGAATCCTTAACACACAACGAAGTGAAAGAACTGCTCAAGGCTAAAAGAGAACCAAAGGATTACTTCGGATGGTATCCTCTCTTTCCCTGTTTGTTGTTATTGTTATTTGTTAGTATAGAGTGTTTCTCTACACTGCCATCTATTGTTTCCTCGGAAAATTTGTGTTTTTGACATATTCTGACTATTAAACGATTATTTAGTTACTCATGTTTTAAAGTAAATTTGTATTGTTACTTCATATTTGAGAGTAATGTAGTTTAAAGAGGCTAAAAATATACATTTTAATTGGTTAAAGGTTAAATATGCATAATGAGATATCGAAAAACACCAACATTAGAATTTATGAATAATTGAAGGACCAAAGTGCAATTATCTCTATTTCCTTTATTGATGAGGTTGTTTTCCTTATGTTTCTACGGTGCACCAGAGTGAGACTAGCCAGTTAGGATTTAGTTCTAGGATGCTAGTGGTTATCTACTGATGTAGGACTTTATCTGCTAGTTATTATTGTACTTTGCATTTATTTCGTATTTCTTATATTGTTGTTATTTTATTATGATTCTATTGATGGTACTAATATATCGTCTCTTGTTTCCTTCTTGAGTCGAGGGTCTCCTAGAAATAGCCTCTTTGCCCCTCGGGGTAGGGGTAAGGTCTGCGTACATATTACCCTCCCTAGACCTCACTTGTGCCACTTGTGGGATTACACTGGGCGGTTGTTGTTGTTGTTGTTTTCCTTATGTTTATTTTTAAAACTCAATTTTGTGTGTAGGGCAAATGCTTCTGTAGATTGGAATTCTTTATATGATTTAGGCAAAAATAAGGATGGCATATTGACGAAAGAAACCGTAAGAGCTGTCTATGATGGAAGCCTTTTCGAGCAAAAGGCAAGAGAGCATGCTTCAAAGAAGTGACCCTAGTTCCATATCCTCGTTTGATGTACAATATTGGTTGTTAATTATGTTGTTGTCTTCTGCTGTGAATAATACTTCTATTCTTGTTGTTATTTTTATAATTCTTTTAATTTCTTCTCACATCTCAAAATTTTGAGATGAGCAATACAAAGAAATATGCATTTTTATTTTAGAAAGCTAGTGAAGCGATCCATGCAATCAACCGGCTAATCGATCGACTCAAATCCTAACTAGTATTTTAAAAGGCGAGGCGTTTTATATTAAAAGCCCTGAGGCACGGGGCGTAAGCCCCATGACTATTTAATTTTTAATATTTCATAAAATAATATAATTACAGTAAATATATATAAATAGGTAAAATTGCAAAAAATTTAAAGAAAAATATAAATATGTGAAAAATATATATAGATATTCTCCATCCCCACAAAAAATTAGTCAAAATAATCCATTATACACTACTTACAAGCACAGGTAACTTGAGTTAAAAAGAATAAAATTTTCTACGTGGAGGAATAAAAAAGATGACTAACCTGCAATTTGAACTTTGAACTTGGTGCTATGAAGGAGAATGGAGTCTCTTTGTATTTGCAAAAAAAAATAATTTTTTTTTGACTATTTGTTGCTTTTAGGAGATAGTAACAGACTAGCGGATAAGATAAAGAATTGGGAATAAGACCATAAATTAGGGGTTCTATCAATAAAAAAGGTCTTGACTTTAAATTTAATATTTCAGTTCCTTTATAAAATTGTTTACCCTTAAAATCGGATAACAATTAAACTTATAAGTGGTTTTAAGGATATGCGATTTCACTTGGCACAAACTGATAAATGTAAGAATTAATGATAGAAATTACGGTAAAATAAAGCAAACTAATGTGATGGACAATTATCGCCCTTGAGCTGATTGCCCTCGAACCAAACGAACGAACTATTAAAAATATGAAGTAGGCAGCAGAGCTTAAGAGAGCTTTAAGAGAACAAAATGTAATATGTTACTTCGATATGCGTGAATGTAAGATGCTTACAAATTATTAGAGCCCCCTTTATATAGTAGAGGAATTCTACCCATGGTACAATTCTAATTACAGAAGAAAATCCCATGATTAGCTAAACAACAGTTCTTGATTTGATCCGTTCCGAGATTTCCGCATAATCCTCGGTCAATCACGGATATCTCGCCTTTCCGTTATTATGCTATCTTCGATCTTACTCGATGTCTATCTTGTTTGGTCTCAGTCATTGCTGGTCTCGATCTCGACAGGTACTTCAAATCTCGAACTCAGTACCTTATCCTCATATCTCGGTCTGAGACACTACGGGGCCGATCCTCGATCCATCCCTCTGTTCTCGGTTAATCAGCAAAATCGGGCAGGCCCGGTTTTAACCATATACAGATAGTCTCCTCATTTCTGGGATGGCTACGACAAGAAACGAATTGAATCTTTTAATTTCCCTTGGTTTTCCATGACGTAAGTGACGAGCCCGACCGTGACCTTAGCGACTAGTGGGCGCCGAAACGTCCCATCAGTTCGGATGTCGAGGCATTTAATTCCTGTAAGTCGTTGTTGGCCACTATCGGTTTCTGAACCGTCGTCTCCAACCTATAAATATATCTTCCTTCTTTTGCCCAAACTTTGCTTTCAATCTTCATATTCCTTTGTCTTCTACAGATTCTCAAGCCTTTCTTTGTTTGTTTTCCCTAAAGTACCAAATATCCCAATCTCTGTTCTTCCTTGTTCACCAAAACAAAAAATGGCCAAAACATCTAAAACCGTTTCACAGAAAGAGAAAGCTTCCTCGTCTCAACCAGCCGGCAAGCAACCAGCGACGGAGCCACACCCTGAAGAATTCTTTCCTCCGCCGTGCGTTCTTGACTCTAACTTTAAGGTAGGAAAGCCCCCTCAGTTCCAAGCTGATGCAAGCCAATGTCGAGGTACATATGCACAATCACCGGTGGCCTTTTAAACCAAGTTAAGAAGGATTGCAACTGGGTAAACAAACACGTGGTGGTGCCCTCGCCTGAGGAGTCAATTACTACATATGTGGAGAAGTTTCTAAGTGTTTACACCTACTCTTTCACATTGGGCCCCTTGGACCCGGTTATTGTGGATTTCTGCAAGAAGTACGAGGTCACACTCGGCCAAATACACCCCTCCTTCTGGAGGATAGTCATACTGCTCCGCTTCTTTGTGGGCCAAGTCGACGGGCTTCCCTTTACTTGCGTTTTTCTCTTCTTACCTAATTCTTTTTCTTCTATTTGTGTAGGCCTCGGTGCTTCATCTTAAAGCTTTCTTTGGGTCTCGAGGAGAACTGAGCCGATTTGAGGCAGAAATTCAAGGGCTTACTCAGGAGAGAAACGCCCTCAAGCTTCTCGGTGAGCAAAAAAGAGAAGAAATCAAGGGCCTCCGAGCTGAGCTGGCCGCGGCTCAGAAAGAACAGAGCAAACTGACCGAGCAGGTAAAAAAAGTCTTAGAAGCCCATGGCATCGGTTCGGGAATGATGGATAACAATTCGATCTCACAGGTCCAGCAGCTGAACGAGATGATCAGGCAACTCCGTGGAGAGGTAGATGCAGTGAAGGCGGAACCCATAGCGGAAGCAAAATATGGACTGTCTTGCCTTAGAGAAAGAGGCTGCTCGAGCTTAGTTATCCTCGGCTGAAATCCAACTCCAAGGCATTAAAGAGAAGAACTTGGCACAAGCCAAGAAAATTGAGGAGCTCCAGGCTCAGTTGGTCACGGAACTTGCAGTGGCGAAATCTAAGGCTGAGACGGCTAAGGCCGATGCTGAGGTAATCGTGGCATCTACTGGTCTGACACCGAAGGCGCTCAAGCTCGAGCAAAGGAAGTTGCCGATGCTGCTCAGACTCGAGAATACTGGGTTTCCAAGCATGCCAAGTGCCAGTCTCGAAGAGAGACCCTCGAGGAGATCCACGCTCGTGGCTTTGACCTTGCTGCCAAGATCAAAGATGCAAAAGAGCTTGAAGCCGAAGCCAAAGCATTGGTCTCTTCTGATGATGATGATTCTAAGAGCATGAGTGGGTCCGATAGCGGAGAAGACCCCGAGGGTGAAGATGTTGCTCATGGAGAAGATTAAGTACTTAGGATCTTTTTTGGATTTTTTGCATAGAATTCCGATCGGGCCATGTTGCCCTTGTAAATTACTTTGACATATATAAAGATCTTTCTTGTGAAATTTCATTTCTGCCTTATGAAATTTGCGCTTTATTTATGCTCTATGAAATTATTATTCATAGGTTCGAGGTTCAGGTAATTTGGACCGCAACCGAACTAGTGTCCAGTGAGTGCTTGCTCAAACTCGAAGTAGGGTAACCCTTAGGTTTTAATTGAGTGAGGATGATCCCTCGAACTTAAAACGAAAGATGGCCCTTAGGCTTTTGCATTAGGATGATGTGGCCTTAGTAAAAAGATTGGCTTTTTCCCTTTTTCGGATTAAAAAGTTCATTGTTAATTATACAAAATTTATTATGCCTTAGCACGAAATAAGGAATTGTTCAAGAGTTCGAACAATTTGCATTCATTAGGGATCTTGAGGCTTGATATTATCAAAGCCCTTTGTTATTTTGCCGAGGGTAGCCTTTTTAACCGATTTATGAGAATATTCGAAGGCCTGCTTTATTACGAAATTCGGATGTCTCCGAACCGTGTCAGTTTGGCCGTAGCCTTTTTAGTTAGGGATTTGCCTCTTGGGCTTGTTTTCCCGTTACACTTTGAGCTTGTTCGAAGTGTCAGTCACCGAGTGGGGTGGCCGTGGCCTATAAAAATCGAGGGTTTCCTTTTTAAGGTCTTATAATCTCGAGATTTTAATAATTTGATCTCGTCTATTTTTTAGACGGTAGTCCCCGAGTGGGGGGTTAATTGTTCGAACTTCGGTTGCGATCGGCCCTTAAGCCTGTTTACACGATAGATCGAGTATGAAATTGTAAAGTAGAAAATTTTTCAAAGGCATGAGATATCGGCAAGGAAAAATACTTCTTTCAATAGATGATTATACATGCATACATGTTTGAGGTTAGGGCTTGAGTAACCTATATGGGCACGTTCATTCGACCGTTTGGACCTTACAAAATTTACCTATCGAGACCCCGTAGTTACGAAGTAATTTCCTTGCATCAAAGTTTACATTTGAGGGTAATGCCCCCCAGTATTCGAGGTTGATTGTAAAGAAGCCTCGGATACTGTTGAATTGTCTAAGTTAGCACGATAAGTGGTTGCCTCATTAAAACCCTTGCCGGAAAACCCAATTGGGACAAAATCGATCTAAGGGAAAAAAAGTGCAACGCGTGCTTTCAGACCTAAAGACTTTGTGCTGAAGGATCCATCGTCGTTCCTGATCGAACACCTGCAACTAGTTAGTTTAGAATATAAATGAAAATGGAGAAGGTCGTATCTTAGCAGTAGTATCGCTTTAGGAGTGATACGTTCCAATTGTTTGGTAGTTGCTCGCCGTTCATCGTGCCGAATTTGTAGGATCCTTTTTCGATAATATCGAGGACCTGATATGGACCCTCCCAATTTGGACCCAGTTTTCCTTCATTCGGGTTCTGAGTGTTGAGGGTGACTCTTCTTAGCACCAAGTCCCCAATTTTGAAGTGTCAAAGATTGGCTCTTCGGTTGTAGTACCTTTCGATCCGCTGTTTTTGTGTGGCCAATCGAACGAGGGCGGCCTCGCACCTTTCATCTAACAACTCTAGGCTTGTATTCATGGCCTCGTTATTTGATTCTTCTGTTGCATATTGAAACATGAGGCTAGGTTCCCCTACCTCGACGGGATAAGAGCTTCGATACCATAGACCAAAAAGAATGGCGTTGCCCCCATACTGGATTTCGACGTCGTGCAGTATGCCCAAAGAACCTTGGGAAATATCTCTCTCCATTTTCCCTTAGCGTCGGTCTATCTTTTCTTATGATTTTGAACGATAGTTTTGTTGGTTGATTCGCCTTGTCCGTTCCCGCTGGGATGGTATGGCGTTGATAGAATCCTTTTAATCTTGTGATCCTCGAGAAATTTAATCGCTTTGTTGCCAATGAATTGCTTTCCGTTGTCACACACGATCTCGACAGACATCCCAAATCGACATATAATGTGGTCCCAAATGAAGTCTATGACTTCTTTTTCTTTGACTTTCTCGAAAGCCTGTGCTTCA